ATACTAAATTTTGATCTGCAGTTGACTGTTGAGGCAAACCCATTCTCGTACACCGCGTCCTTGTCATGCTCTGTTGATCGTGTGTAAGGCGGGCTCTGGGTACGAGAATGTGGCATAGTCTAGCTCCATTTAAAGATTGGCTATCTCCACAAAAATAAAATCTACAGGTATGGACTACAGGGTGTATAAAAAAAACTGAACAGATTTGAAATTGCTCTCAATTTTGCAAAACACCTATTTGTATCCAGTTTATATATATATATATATATATATATATATATATGTATATATATGTATATATATGTATATATGTATATATGTATATATGTATATATGTATATATGTATATATGTATATATGTATATATTCTTTGGGTACTTATAAATGTAGAATGAAAAAAATTTCTTGAACTCAAATTTTGTGAACCAGGGGGTGTGTCTTTTCCAACAAACTAAAAATGGCTCGTGCACAAAATTTAAAAGTTGTAATCATATTTTGAGTTATTAGATGGACAATTTGTCGGGTTTTTAATTACTGTACAAAATGTCAGACAATTTGGTTTAGTTTAAGCCCTTTAACTATCCATGTAGAGGTTACATTTTCCTAAAATCAGCTATTTGCATGCTTAATTAATGCCTTTGCCTAATTTGCATATGTTAGCAATATGCAAATTAGGTAAAGGCATTAATTAAGCATGCGAAAGGCTGATTTTTTTAGAATAAAATTAGTTAAAGGACTTAAACTAAACCAAATTGTCTGAAATTTTGTACAGTAATTAAAAACCCAACAAAGTTTCCATCTATTAACTCAAAATATGATTACAACTTTTAAATTTTGTGCGCGAGCCATTTTTAGTTTGTTGGAAAAGACACACCACCCTGGTTCACATAATTTGAGTTCGAGAATTTTTTTCCCTTATTCTACATTATAAGTACCCAAAGAAGCTATATATATATAAATCGGATACACATAGGTGTTTTGCAAAATTGAGAGCAATTTCAAATCTGTTCAGTTTTTTTTATACACCCTGTATAGCGAAAACGATATCTCAAAAGGGGCCGAAGTTATGTGATTAATTTTATGAAATATAACACCGCTTGACCTGTCAAAAGGTCATAAATAGTTATACAATTTCACTAAAACTATATTTGAATAAAACTATCAATAGGTATTAGGAGATATTGTTTCACTGAATCGAATGGTGGTATTTTCATCTACATAGCATGCACCAAGCCGGAGATATGAATCGGCAAAGTGTCACAGAACGTGCACGTTCTACGATTACAGGGGCCTGCTGAGAAAGAGTTAAGGCAGCCAAATTGGTTTGGGTCAATTTTCCTTTTAACATCATCCACCATCCATGCGACTACGAAATCTTCTAAAGTTTTTGCCAAACATGATGTTAAAGATATGGGTCTTGTGTCTCCTTCAGATTCTGGTGATTTTACTTTAAGTATCGGGGTGATATTAGCGTCCTTCCAAATACCAGGCACTGTACCACTGTTGATACTGGTATTAAAGATAGTGGTAATAGGAGTTGCTAACTTGTGTGCAAATTCCTTTAGAACATGGCATGGAATGTTATCTGGGCCATGGGCTTTTGAGGGATTAATTGAGAGCAGTTTTTTGCAAACTTCATGCGGTTGAATGGATGGCATGGGCTGATTTGATGGCAAAAAGGAAGGAAGAGTGGCTACATCCAGTGGGGTATATCCGGCGTTAACCGAGGCGTAAAAGGCATTCAATGAGTCGGCCAATTCTTGTTGTGTCAGAGGTACACCATCTCGTTGTAGGGAGAATTGTTCATCTTTACTAAATCGACCAGACATAGCGTTTACCACAGACCACCATTTACAACTGTTACATTCGCGGGCGAGAACGAACAAAAGTGTATATTTGCATCTTTATCGTCTTTACACTTGTTGCCCTCCTTAACCAGATACAGCGAGACACGCTGGCCAAGGAGGCTTTCTCGTATTTGGAATATGCTTCTTTTGAGTCTTACGAACTTTGCGACAACAATAAATCCACAATATCAAATTCCTCTTCTTGAACAACAACAACTTCTAAACTTGTCTCTGATACTTTTCTAATACTTTTTAATTCTAAAAACTAGCTTAAGCTTTCGCTGCTTATATACTGTCTGCAAGATATTAATAGAACATTACATCATACTATTTTTAGATATTACATAAGACGATAAATATAGCATAAGCATGAATCAGTATAATTATGTAATATCCTAAATTAAGAATGTTCAAGACATGACTGACTTCATGTCACAACCCCCCTCTTGCAAAAAGAAAGTTTGCTAGAACTTTCGTCCAACTTCACTATCTTGACAAGCAGTCCACAATCAGATTGTCTTGCAGTGTCCTCGATTTTGACATCATGATATATCATTTCAGTTCTAGATGGAACAACTGGAAACAGATGATTGTAGTCACCAATAATTTTCTTTAGATCTTCTCGTTCTGATGGCTCAAGATGCTTTAATTTCTCATCCAAATTCTTTAATACGTCTGAATTGCTCAGCTTTTTCATGTCAGACAGAGCATTGGGCTCATTACCACTATCCTTGGAGGGACCTACACTAACTGCATTTACTGAGTGTGCACCTAAATGTTTCTTTCTTTTAAAATAAGGCTTAAGCATGTTAATATGACATAATTGCTTAGACTTACGCCTATCTGGTGTATTTACTATGTAATTCTGCTCACTCTTTCTCTCACTAACTACGTAAGGCCCAAAATACTTAGCTTGAAGGGGATGTCCCAGAACAGGGAGTAGAACAAGAACCTTATCACCAGGCTGAAAACACCGGCTGTGTTTTTATTGAATTTTGTTTTCATGGAAACTTGACTAGGCTTTAAGGTTTGCCTTAGCTAAATCACATGCTTTTGAAAGCCTGGTTCGGAAATCCGAAACAGATTGAAAAAGATTTAAACAATCATTACCTTCGGATAAAAACTTCTCCTTGAAGAGTTTGAGAGGACCCCTCACCATGCGACCGAAAACTAGTTCGAAAGGGCTAAAACCTAATGATTCTTGAACAGACTCTCCTGCAGCAAACAAAGGTGAATGAATTCCTTTATCCCATCACTTCTCGGTATCAAAACAATAAGTTTTAATCATCGTTTTCAAAGTTCAATGAAACCGCTCTCAAGCACCTTGACTCTCTGGATGGTAAGCTGAAGACAAATACTGTTTGATTTTTAGTTCGTACATAACTCGTTGAAAAATCCCGGACATAAAATTTGAACCTTGATCGGATTGAATCAACTTAGTAGTCCAAAAAGTGAAAAGAATTTTATTAAAGCGTCAACAATGTTTTTTGTTTTCATGTTTCGCAAAGGAATCGCTTCCGGAAATCTTGTTGAGGCACACATTATGGTCAAAAGATACTGATTACCTGACTTCGTTTTTGGCAACGGACCGACACAATCGATTTTAACTCAGGTAAATGGTTCCTCAAACGCCGGAATTGGACATAATGGTGCCTTAGGAATAGTTTGATTCGGTTTCCCAACCATCTGACACATATGGCATGACTGGCAAAATTCAGCAACATCTTTCCTTAACGACGGCCAGTAAAAATGTTCGGAAATTTTGCGCAATGTTTTCCTTGTACTTAAATGTCTGGCTAACAGAGTTTCATGTGCTAAGCTAAGAACTTCATACCGATAGGCTTTTGGAATCACAATTTGAAACTTAACTGCCCATTCATCATCTGCCGAAACATCCGGTGGTCTCCATTTTCTCATTAAAATGTCTTTTTGAAAGAAATAACAAACCGGATATTTGGATAGTTCGCTTTCATCGACAGCTTTTTGAAACAGGATCGAAATGTCTGGGTCTTTATGTTGTTCAGAAATAGGATGAGATTTTGAAATCAATTGCAATAAATTTTTATTCGCAAACAAATCGGATTCACTTGAAACAGGAAATTTTTCATTTTCATTTTCAAAAACTTTCGCAAGTCATGAATCGGCCAAATTAATGTCGTCAACATGTATTTCATCTTTATCAGACTCTTTCATAGCTTTAGCCATTGCTCGAGTAATGACACAGGAAGGATACAAATCTGGAATTTCTTCCTCAATAAGATCACGAATTTGATTTAAACAAGGTTTATCTAATAAAATGGTATCAGTAACTACCTGGTCCCCTGCAAGGTCATTTCCAAGAAGTAAATTAACACCTTTAAAAGGCAAACTCGGCTTAATGCCTACTTTAACAGGTCCAGAAACCAATCTTGAAGCCAAATAAACAATATGGAGTGCAGGAGCGGTATTGAAGAATAATCAACAGAATGTACTCCTTTAATTAGAACATTTGAACCCAAATAAGAATCATTCGAAAACGGCAAAGTATCCGTCAATAAAATAGACCGAGATGACACAGTATCTCTTAAAATCTTATTCGGAGTAGCATCAGACAAATAATTTTTAATGAAACAAAACCATCATGAATGAATGGCTTGAAAATCTCCATAACAGAATCCGAATTGGCATTAACTTCAGACATAGTCTTATCGACATGTTCAATATCAGAAAACGTGACATCCACGTCATTACTTAATTTAGAATTTTGTGAAGTAATAAATCCCGTAGGTTTTTCAAACGATTGACCTTGTTCTTTTTTCTTTAATTTCCAGCAATCAGAAACTAAATGTCCTTCCTTTCTACAATAGTTACAAATTCGAGAATTAAAAATTTTGTTTTTCGGTGGCTGTTGTTGTTGCTGCTGCTGTTCATTTTTTGCTGTAAGTCGCGACTCATAATTTTGTTCAGAATTTTGACGATTATCGAAATTTGTTTTAAAATATCCTCCCTTGGATGCAAACTTATTAAACCCGGAAACTTGTTTATTGTTGGGTGAAAAATTTTGATTACGTGCCGAAAAGGACAAATTTTGTTTGTTCACATGTGACATTTTGTGAGTCAGCGAAAAATCATCGGCTAAATGTGCTGCATCATTCAATGTTTTTGACTGTTGTCCATTGATAAAAGTTCTATATCGCCATGAATACATCGTTTAAACTCTTCGACTAGAAATAGCTGTCTTAATTTGTTGTAATCTTTTTCGACTTTTTCGGAATCACACCAACGATCAAATAACTGCTCTTTAGCTCTTGCAAATTCTACAAATGTCTGACCCGAACATTTTTCACAATTTCAAAATTTCAAAAATTGCTTCGATATGCTTCGGGGACCAACTCATAACCCTTCAAGATCACTTCTTTAACCATATCATAATTTGATGCCTGCTCTAGGGACAATTGGGTGTAAATTTCCTGAGCTTTTCCCGTCAAAACACACTGTATTAATAAGGCCCAGTGTTCTTTTGGCCATTTCAAATTTTCTGCTACTTTTTCGAAATGTAAAAATATTTATCTACGTCCTGTTCTTGGAACAGCGGAACGAGTCGAATTTGCTTAGTAATGTCGAATGATGAGGAACGACTTGTGCCTGGATGACCTTCTACTGAACCCCCCGCTAACACTAATTTCTTGAGCTCCAAAGCATGCTCTAACTCTAGCCCACGCAACTCTAACTCTCTAGCTCTCTCTCTTTCCTCACGCCCTTCACGCTGATGCTCACATTCAAGTTTTTTAAGCTCTAATTCATATTTATACTTTTCTGAGAGGTCCGGCCCATCACTTGAGGAGGCGGAAGTTAGGAAGACAGGCTCGTTAAGGACACCCTCTTTAGCAAGATGTTGGCTAAATCGAGCAAAATTTGAATTCTGCGGCTGTGCGGCAATACATGAAAAATAGATTTCTTTAATATTTTGCTTAAATTTAGGTAACACCTAGTTATAAATGGTGTTTGAGTTAGATTTTCAATATTTGGCGATAAACGTACAAATATCAGAAATCAAGAATTTGTCTCCGGAAGGCTATAATTAGCCCATACCTGTAGATTTTATTTTTGTGGAGGTAGCCAATCTTTAAATGGAGGTAGCCAATCTTTAAATGGAGCTAGACTATGCCACATTCTCGTACCCAGAGCCCGCCTTACACACGATCAACAGAGCATGACAAGGACGCGGTGTACGAGAATGGGTTTGCCTCAACAGTCAACTGCAGATCAAAATTTAGCCTCTGAACGAGAAAAAAATGCCAAGTGTGTCAATGTCATGTTTATGCGCATATTGTGGGTATTTCAGTCTTATTTAATACAGCGGAATATAGAAGTGCATTCTGAGAGTTCTTGCAGTTATTCCAGTTAGTCAGTAACTCCTGGCTTAGATAACAAGCTCCAAATGATTTTTGGAGTTAGCAACACAGCAAGTAACTTCAACCTTACATGTATGTTTCTAGCGGCTATAGGCTGACTCGCCTCGCTATACACATACTTTTTGGAGTTAGGCGTAACTCAAGGCTTAAATACCTTGTTTTTTCCATGATTTTTGGAGTTATACGTAGCTCTAAATGATTATTGGAGTTAGCCAGTAACTCCAGGCTTAGATGCCTAGCTCCTAAATTATTTTTGCAGTTGTATACTTAGCTCCAAATGATTTTTGGAGTTAGCCAGTAACTCCAGAATTCATATTTCAACTCAGTCTTGAATTACACAAGTTACTCAAGTGTATATTTTGGTTTGGAGTTAGCCCTTTAGACTTTGGAGGTAGCGTCGTTCCATAACTTCCTACTTTCTACAGGCATGATTAGCTGCTGACAAAGCCGTTGCCATGGTCAATTTCATCACTTCGCGATGGATTCAAAACTGCCCGTAGATAGTTTTGATGGTTTAATGACTATAATTCAAGTATTAAAGAATACTTTTATCAATATAGAATGGCCCAGGAGGCTTTAACTGGCCTGACAGAGGTTGTTGAATTGGCTATTTTTAGTCAAATTTGAGAATTGCATTTTGTGGCTGGATTTGAAAGGTAAATTTACTATGTGCGATAATCGTGAATTTTTTTATATTTCATCCACGGAATGCTATAGCATGGATACTATGGCGTCAGATTTCCGCCAATATTCATGTTGATATTAATTCAACATGTTTCCGTATTGAAGTGAATTTCGACATTGAACATATCAAATTCAGCATGCCAATTGACCATTTGCATAATAGACTAAATTTTGATCTCAGAAGATTGGGAAAACCGGAAAATTGACAGCCTCGAAGGGTTTGGGGCTGTCAATTTCCCGTTTGTAATCTAAAATGACTGAAAATTGCAAATTTCGCAAGGCTATATTTTCCG